GGCCTACTGACTTACTATACTGACTCAACTGTGGGCCTTTTCATATTCCAGGGTGATTTATTCATATCAACCTTCCCAGTTTGGGTGTCTTCAGATGTGTGCTGGCTTCAGTTCCTAAAATCCTTTAGCCAGTGTGGATGTTGCTAGGATTACTTGGAAGTGAAGTCCTGGAGAATCCTTATGATATGTGTGTATGTACTATATGTATGTGTATATGTACATACATGTACATCCATACATAAAATGAAGTAGGCAACTTGTTGCCCTCCAATGTTATTAATCTCAATCATGCCCATCAGCCAGCATGATCAGTTATAATGGATTGTGGTACCTGTAATCTTAAGAAAACATACTAACATAGGCAGAAGCAAAAAGTAGGCATATCTAAGCTGTAGCCTTATCAAATGGGCTGCCAAGGTAATATTTTGTTTGGAAGAGATCTCATGAACATTTGGCATTTTTCTAGAGAAGAGGGAATGGAACATTGTTTTGCATAACAAAGTTGAGAGTTTATCATGATCCGTTCTGCAGTCTCACAGGAGGATAACAATTGCCTGAAGAGTGCACAAATCCATCACAGTGTTTCCACAAAAAGTCCCCGAGGCAAAGGAAAAGATGTGAGAAATATAAACTGGCCATTGCCTAGTTAAACTATTTTCAACAGGCCTAGCATATAAATAGTACAAAATAAAGTATTACTGTTCTTCCATTTTATTTGTCCAAATTAAAAAGAAAAGAGGGATCATTCCAGAATGCCTTCATGCTTTAATACTGTATCCAGGCTGCCACAATTCTCTGTCCACTTGCAACAGCCCATTCATACAGTTTCTAGGTTACTGCATATCACCCATACATTGTATATAGGTTGTTGTAGGTGCAGGTGCCCACAAATTTTATAGTGACTTTCCCTAAACTGGTGCATTAGGACTGAAAATTCTCATGCAGCATGGTCAATTTCTAGGAGTTGCAGTCTCGACACATCTAGATTGAGATACAGTAGATGTAGCCTGCTGTGTAGCATAACCTACATCTTCTCTTGTGGAAAAATGTGTCTCATGCTATAAAACCATCATGGAAAGGAATATTTCATACTAGCAATGGGCTCTGTGGTTCAAGAGGATATCAAACAAGTCACAACAAATAGAAAAATTGCTGCTGTACTTGGTCTCAACGGCCTTCTATCAAAAACTAGAGAGCATAATCTATAATGCATAGATGTGGGTTTCACCTCAGAAAGACTGTAATACTATCCAATCTGTGGTGAAAAAAATCCACTCCTACAGAGAAGCCCAGTGTAAAGTTATTAAATTACTTTACTCTTACTTTCAATCATTTGAATGCACTAGGACTCATCATTATACTGTAACAGTTAATCGGGGAATGCTCAACTTAGATTATAACATTGAGAGACATACTGGCATTGTGTTGAAAGAAAAGATAGCAACTTCTATGTCCCTCAGCCAAGGAATGGGGAAGTCAATATCCCAAAGCAGAGCATAAAACCCTGTAGAAATAGGACAGACATGCATCATCCGATGGCCCAGGAGAAATATGAATACTGCCCACTAACCAGAAACAAACCAGCAATTATGTTGGTATCACAACATATGATGTCAAAATAATTGGGATATTTATCAGCATGTAAGCTTCCACCACCACCCCCAATATATTATGATAGTTTTTTTTACTCTATCAATCAGTAACTCACTCCATAATGTATGGGAGTGTAGCAATTATGTGATCCTGATACAATAGTTATAATGTGGTCAAACAAGAGAAAGCACACATATGTCCTAACTCAAAGATGCATTGCCAAGCTCACTGGAGACTTCAGATATTTTTATACTTCTTCAAATTGATGACCTCCTCAAGAAATGTTTGATCTCAACATCTTCAATTTCCCAATCAGGTGGCTACTGGCCAAGCTGGGAACAGTTGTCTAGCATATCTAGAAATCACCAATATTGCCCTATTGTTATTTTGAATTGTTTTCTGCCTTCTAACTAGGTTTGAAAGGCCAATGTAAAAATTATGCATTAATCAGAGGAAGCTGCTTGGGTTATTATTATGGAGGGGAGGAGTGATTTAATATTAGAGAACAATAACGTTGCACACATGAAGAACCTTACCAACAGCAGGAAATGCCATGCAGGCAAGAACATATTAAGAAGTACAGGCTGAAGGAGGAAGTACAAAAAATACAGCCAAAGAACTGGTGAGATTTTCTCGGGTTCAACTTGACGTCCTCTTTTTTATGCATGCTTCACTTCCTTAGTTGTGTTTATCAGATGAAGCTAGTGGTTTCTGGGTACATTCATGGTGAGCTTGCAGCTCATAGATCTGTTTTACAGAGTAAAATGTTCAGTACATGCTTCCTTTGTGGCTTCTTTCCTATGTTGGTCTCTCCTCTTCATGACCCACAGAAAAAACGTTTCAAAGAAAATAAAGTTCCATCATCAACTTTCGGATTTTATTTTCTGAGTTTTTTTCAACTGAACTTGCTGAAGAGGAGGGGATGTATCTAAACCTTTCCTATTCTGTGGCACATTTTATTCTGGGAATGTAAATAATCACCTGCAACAATCATATGAATTGATTACTATTTGTGCACATCAGTTTGTTCATGAAGTGATGTGCACAGTGATCATAAAGCAAGTTGTTCCTGGCAAGCTAACTCCATGTGTTCATTCATGGAACACCTGTAAAAGTAGTCAAGTCCATGTTATTATTCATTTATGTCATAAGTTGAATACTTTTTAAAAAAATGATTGTAGACTGCTGTTCCAACATTAGGGCAAACATATTTGGTCTACAAAACTCCAGTAACCACTAGTTGGCACCTAAGGGATGTTTTTATATAATACCATATGGAGGTCCTTTGAATTTTTGCAGATCAGACATAGTAGACTTACTGAAGATAAAAAAATATTTGAAAACTGATAAAAAGTCAAAATGATGATAAAAATGATTCAGGTAACAAGAGGTAGGGAATGGGTAGTCCTTTTTGGGGGGGAGCAGCTTTAAAGTATCCTCTAATCATGACAGGTAAAAGTTAACATCACAATTAACTTGAAAGACAGATAAAATGCATTTTATTATCAGAGCTAAAAATGGCCATTGTCACAGCTAAAAAGCTAAAAAAATTCCTGCCAGTTTGTAGCTCCCTAAAAATGTTAAGTTTAGTCCTGGTTTAACAAAATATAGCCTGCTATTATTCCTGTCACTTAGTAATAAAAAAGATCAAGATGGCATATTTACAGCCGCAACTTGTTTTTGATCATTGAAAAAAGCATTAAATATATCTCCAATGGGGATATTTTTCAGACTTTTTTTTTTTTGAAAAGCATTCATATTTACCTTTTCTACTCAGCATAATTTGTATTTTACGGAATCTATATTTGTGGAACATAAGAATAAGATTTAAATACTATACATTCAGAATAACCTCTGTGTGTGCAGTTGCTCTTCTGCAGCCGTGGATGGGTGGAACGAGAGAATGGCGATTGGACATACCAGAGAAGGTTCAAGAACTGACCCACAACTCCTTGATGAGGAAAATGGCTTCACTGTTGTGAAGAGGAAGTTTTATTGTTTTGTATAAGCCTATTTTCTATGCAACATTCTTGGAAAGATCAGTTAGACTGACACAAAGCATAAAGCTCTCGGGATGGGGATGAGGGAATACAGAAACTATCTAATTTTTATGTTAACCCAGCATTATGTAGCAACAATTCCTTGAAACTAACTAAAAATAAACAATACCTCCTCCCACTTTACTTCTAGAAATACTTAAAGAGTTATATTTCTCTCACAAGTTGTTTATTAGTAATGATGTTCTGTTACAAATATAATATTCTTCATTTTAACCAAAAGCTCTAACTTGAAGAGACACCATTTGGGCACACCATTTGACTCAGTGCATCTATGGATCAAGCAAAGAGTTAATTCATACTTCAGAGTCCACTCAAAAAGGGGCCAAAACTGTGGGGCCTTCTTTGCAAAGCAGTGATGCTCCGCTTCATGGCATCTTCCTGACTCAGGGCCTTGAGATGATACCAGGTAAGAAGAGAACAAGATGGCTTTCCTCCAGCCAAGGAAATTTGCTTTGCTTTGGCAGAAATGTGTTTTAAGTGTGTACATGCAGAAAATTGACAAGGGCCAACCTGGTGGATAATTGGCTATGCCTTACTACTTAAGACCACCTCTCAGGGATGTCAAGGAGTGAAGGGACATCTTAGAAACAGTTTCCCCTACCCTACTTCTGAATGTTTTGATTTACTTATTTTAAATTAAAACTATTCCTTAAATGCCTTCCATTTGCTATATATTTGGATTTACATTTATACAACAGCCCAATAAATCTTAGTGTTAATGTGCAGTTTTGGTTGTGTTCATACCCTCCAGGGAAACTAGCTAAGGAAATGGTGCAAGTATTGCTCCAGCAGGAGCCCACAATGATTCTGCCATCACATGTTTCTCACATGTCACAAGAGTTGGATAACTGAGGCAGAGCATAACTGCTCTGCCTGAGGTGCAGGAAAGTAGCAGAGGTATTGGATAACTGAGGCAGAGCATAACTGCTCTGCCTGAGGTGCAGGAAAGTAGCAGAGGTATACTGTGTCGGGATGAGATTCAAAGGCCCAGTGACATGTCTACAAAAATGGCTTTACTTATCAACACAGGGTTGGGACATTGTCACTACCTCCATTGTAGAGAATAGACAAAAGGATTTTTTTAAATAAACAAATAAATAAAACCAGATCCTCCTGGCTTTGGTGAAAGAGGACAGTGAATGTGCTGTCACTCTACCAATGGATTCTCTTCTCCATCTTTGCCATAAACTGAAGGTACGATTGCTCTGTTCAGTGAGAAGATTCCACCTTCATCCAAATTTGTGAGAAATATTTATTTAAAAGGCTATGGGAAAGCCAGAGCTTTAAATAATGTAAATAAATAGGACACCTCTTAAGAATTTGGAAAGCATTTTCAAACTTTATTTACAACTGTCACAGTGACAAAAGTAGTTTGAAAAAAATGCTAGCTTTTTCCCTGAGGCTCAAAAAAGAATTTTACAGAAATATAGAATGTAATATATATAACAGGAAAAGTTCCACTGGAGTGCTTTGTTCCTCAGACACATTCAAAAGTGACAGAAATACAAGCAACAACTGTTATCTTTTAAAAAAGCAGAAAAATGATATGCAAATATTCAAAGACAAACAACGATCCCACTCTGTCCTTAAGCATTAAGGATTTTTGTTTTTCCGAGTCTGAGTGGTTAACATTTGACAACTGCAAACTGGGACAAAAAAAATGGAGAAACAAAAAGTGACTTTTGAAGGAAAAAAAATAGGGCATTTTGGGTTGGGTGCAAGTGTGAAAGCTCATTGTACTGAACAGCAAGACAAGAATAGACTCAAGGATACAAAAACATCTGGATCCATCCATTTTAAAGCAACCTTGACAAGTGCAAGGGTGCAAGACGAATTTCAGTGATGCCCAAACATCCACCAAGACAGGTAGTATATGTGTTACAGGTTCTTGGCTGAAAAACACACACACAAGAACACTCAACTACATCCCTACAATCTCACATCCACATGTAACAATGATTCACAGCTGTTAAGTTATTGCCATTATGTGGAAAACACATGCGAGACGAGACTGAAAAAAGTAACCCTGCTGATTTCAACAAGCAACTCTAACCCATTACCAGCAATTTCACTACTCATGAGGTATCAAAAATAAGTGTATGTGTGTGTAAGCGTGTGTCTTTTATATATAGCACATATACAGAGTTCCAACAAATTAGGAAAGGAATGGAAAAGATCATGGAAAACTAAGGATTATTTTGACTATCTTGTTAAGGCTATAATGTTTATACATTACGAAGTTTTAGTTTCTCCACAGTTAATATGGAATCATTGGCTTTTAATATCTGAAAGCCGTACTTGAAATTTCAACTTTGTGGAACTTCCTGTCAAGAAGTCAGATACTGTTTTTTTTTTTAATGTGGCTGTCAATATAGCTTATCCAACTATTTGTTTGCCTTCTCAGAAGAGAGATATATGGGACATGAGGAATGAGATGATAATGGGCAAATGAGAATCTGTGAACAAGGTAAGTCAATCAAAAATCCTTGGTTCAAAAAAAGGGTTATCTTCTCGACAATACTGAGATGCTGTAATACCTTTTGTTTTTTTAAGGTAAGTCCTGCTTTCACCATCCTGCTTTTAAAGGGGATACCGATTCTCTTAAACTCTTCCTATTTAACATCCTTGTTGGCCCTGTACTATAATCATGAGGCTTTGATCCAGCATTAAACACATGACTAAATTATAAATCAGTACTTATGAAAAAGCTGCATTTCACAGCAACCAGATGCATTATAACAGAGAGAGTTAAACAGTAGCTTCAGTAGCAAGAAAGAAAATATTACTTATTTTCCATATCAAAATCTCCTGAAGTTTTTCTGAAGAAGCATTTCTTCCAACCCCACCTCCCAAACAAAATAAAATGTGATCTTTTACAGCCTAAACAAAATAACTGCAGAACAAGTAGTAAAGGCCATTTCTATAGTCAACAGCTCAATGGCCATACAAAGCTATTCACTGCGATGTTAAAATGCATGCTTAAAGAGGTGCCAAGAAAAAAACAGACATAAAAATATAGTTTATGTGCAACAGGTGAGCAAGCCAGTGCCAGACCCTGCAGCCTGACAAAGATGGTGTGATTTTTAAGACGCTAGGCTGTACAAGGCCAACCTAGTTATTGACCCATTGCTCCTCTATGGTGTTCCGCAGGAAAACTGCCTAACTTGGTAATGTCATAGGAGCATTTCAGCGGCTTGTCTTCCAGCCTCCAAACACATGCGCACATAAAACCAGAAAAAACACTATGAGAAGGCAAGATTTTGAGAGATGAACACTATTCTCATGCATTTGTAGCCAGAGGCAGTCCCTTACAGAACTTAGCTGCATTTATATTTGCAGTTATTTCTTCTAATACCACACACTTCAGAAGAAGCATGCTTCCTGCTGGCCTATTCCTCCACCAAAGCGCCCTCTAATTTCCTGGCTGCCCCAGGCAACCACCACAGAATTCAACAATGATCTTGAGAAGGGCAATCATTTTTGGCTTGCTTTGCCTGCCCAAACTTTCTTAGTTTTAGCTGGAGATTGTCACATCAAGCGCTTCAGTTCTCAATAGAGAATATGAAAAAAACTAAGATCTTGCAGGTGCAAAATTGAATGTCTTTTGTAGAAAAGACCCTTCAGAAAGCTGTTCTCTCCTCCTCAAGATGACCTAACATCTTGAGTAGAACAGAAGATCTTCGGTGCTTTTACTGCTCCTTGCTCTCTTTCTTTGCTTCATCACAATTCTGTTCCTCTTCTTCCTGAACCAGGAACTCTTCAGGTGGCCATCTTAATTCTCCACTCTCTACATCTCCTTCTGTTGGCTCCACCACAATGGAAGGAAGACGGTCCTTCAGCTTACAATAACGATCAAAATCTGAAGGGTCAGGGAAAATCTGAAATAAGAGATTTACAATAATCAATGTCTCCAATCCAATGTATTTTCAGTAGATTTTCATTTATTCACAGCTATCCAAGTAGCCCCCTGTAAACTTCAAAGATGAAACATTTTTTAAACTTAGGCTCATTCATATCCCAAATTATATTATTATAATTAAACTGATATTATCCCTTATTGTAAGATTTAGAGCATAGTAGGCAGCTGTGATTCTCAGACAATTTTTTGTTGCTTTCCTTTAGTGATCATTTCAAAGCCCTCCAGATGTTATTGATCTACAACTTCAGCAGTAGGCATGCCCACTGGTAAGAAATGCTAACAGCAATGTCTAGGGAACCAGAGATTCCCATTAATTTCTCTCTTTCCTTGCATTTACTAGTTGGCTGGAGGAAAAAAGAGATAGTTTTACCCCCTTTGGCATTGATGGGATTGCTTGCCTTTGCTCATCTGACTAGACCTAACAGGATGGGTAAAGTTCCCTTCTATGAAGCAATACCATCTAGCAGAATGCAGGAGATATGCCTTCTCTATCATAGCACCTGCCCCCATGGAACAACATTCCTCTCAAAGTCTAGATGATCCTGACCCTATCCTTAAGCTGCCAAAGGCTTTGTTTTCCCTCAAGTCTGGTGATTATTAGTCTGCCATTTGATTGGCAAAATAAAAGGGATTTTTTTTAGACCTCATGAACATTGCATTGATTGTTATTAGATTTTTGTAAAAAAATGTTTACTCTCAACTGCTGTATTTATGAGATATTGACCATATAAATGGTCAAATAAGGAAAGCTCTCTTGGTGCATTTTGTACACATAAGACATTAGGAAAACTGATCTTCAGGTTACTCTAATGTCTATAAATAAGTATCAAATGTGATTATAATGCACAAAGAATCCACAATAAAACAGATGTCATGTCCATCAACTTCCTGAAACATCATTATATATAATTCAGTTCTGGAGCTAGGTCTAGGTCACCCATAACGTATGAATTATGGCAATACTTGATAACTGGACATTATCAAGCAACCCACTATGCTTATGTCTCAAATTCTCCTCTTGAAGGGTTGTTCGTCTCTATTCCTGATACTCCACTGGATTCTTGCCAACATCAGACCATACACAAATATACTTTCACCCATTATATTAAATAACCTGCTATTTTACTCTGGCCAAGTTAGCATTGCCAAGATGTTACTATTGGCAAGCCAGTATCTTGATAATTCCACTGCTTCACTGTCTGAGCTCTTTGCAGATACTCAACAGGTACCATTTCCTTAGTCAGTTTTTGCCACCCTAGTGTCCCCCAGATGTTTTAGACACTAGCTCTCAAGCCAGCACCTGCATTTGACCTAAAGATACTGAGAACTGCATTTCAACAAATTTGAATATTATGTAAATATACAACTACTATGCTAGGTAGATATTTCCAGATATCAATTAAAACTCATCTGGAAATAACTGCAATATTAATGTCTGATCTATTCCACTCTAAGAATTTTTCATCCCATCAGTCCTACACTGATCACTTAGAAAGCTATTATAAACCAAGCTGAAGTTTCCATCTCACCATTAAAACATATCAGGTGACCAAACAGACCCTGTATAGAGTCTACAGGTTGTGTATAAAGCAGTGGTGGCGAACCTATGGCACGGGTGCCAGAGGCGGCACTCGGAGCCCTCTCTGTGGGCACACATGCCGTTGCCCCAGCCTTGCCTCCCCCCGCGACCCCCTCCTCACCAGCACCCCCCTGGAGGAGAGTCACTCCCGAGCGTGGCCCACGTGGAGCAGCGCAGCCAAGAACATGGCAGCTAGGCAGCGTAGACAAGACTCTGCCCTCACACCTTAATGCGCACAGTTGATGCTGTGGGGCGTGGGCAGAGGGCGTGGCTGCCATGGCGCTGCTGGGCTGTCTGGGTGATCTGCGGCGGGCCCTGGAGGCAGTGAGTGGCCCGGCGGGCAGGCAGGGTGGGGCGGAGCAGGGGCGGGGCAGGGGGTGGAGCAGGGGCAGGGCCAGTTTTTGGGCACTCAGTCTCTAAAAGGTTCGCCATCACTGGTATAAAGCATTAGATTTAGCTAACTATTGTTTCCCATTCAAGAGGGGGGGAAATGTTGGCATTTATTTAAAATTGCTTTCCTCAGCAGAACATTTCCAAATTGTTCAGCACTACAATTCCCATTATCTTCAACCAACACTATCAGATGACTATAAATTTGGGGGGAGAGATGAGCTGCAGCCAAGCCCGAAGTTCATAATTTGGATAAGCCAATATACATCCTCAGTAAGGGAACAAAACACCTCCTATATCTATAATGAACAGCAGCACAGGACAGAACAGCATTAAACCTTCTTTGTTATGGCAAGCACATTAGGTCAAAGTGGAATAGCCATTTTGAAAATATGCTGACCTACCCCACATTAAAGCAAGGAATAAATGATTTCTTTAAATAAACATCCCCCCAAATATATATGTTTGTGTGTGTGATTTAAATAGCCTAAAGAATCTTATCTGTAACAGCTGCACAGATAGAAGAGGTCAGGATTTTTCCACTAAGTCATGCTTTTTTAAAATAATCAAGGAAGCATAAAAATGAGATGTTGCAATTGCACTCAAGGATTATGGATGGGCCAATGGAAAATAAATGAAGTCACATTTCCAAGCACATGACAGAGAAACAAGCATAAGCTGTCAATAGAAGCAAAGAAACAAGAGCCTTTGCATAATGACATTTTAATCCATGAAGATAGTCAGCTGAATATTGCTTGCACTCTTTATAAGAGGAGGAGACAGACTTAAAAACTATCTTTGTGGTTTCAGAGCTGAGCATTGGAGTAAACATTGTCTTCCTCTCTGAATGCTAACTGTACTTTTAACCTAGCATCTCCTTGAATTAAATTCCTGGTAATTACTTGCAAACCATATAGTTTTCTTGCAACTTGATTTATCGCTGCTTTCATCCGGGATAGTTTTTCAATTTCTCAGTCTAGTCTACAACTCCTGAAAACTCATGTTGTTTTCCTATCCAAGTCTAACCAGATTCAATCCTGGTTAATACTGGAGATCAGCTGTGAGGTACTACTATCTGCTGTAGACAATTACCCTCTACCGTCAACAAATATATTGAGTCTACAGCAGTGGTTCTCAACCTTTTTAATGCTGCGACCCCCAACCGGTCGTAAGTCGAGGACTAAACCGATCGTAAGTCGAGGACTAAACCGGTCGTAAGTTGAGGACTAAACCGGTCGTAAGTCGAGGAATACCCAACCGGTCATAAGTCGAGGACTTTCCCTGCCCGGGAGCACCGCGCATGCGTGGTTCCGCCCCCTGCGCTGGCCGAGGCGTAGCTGGCAAGCGGCAGAGACGGAGCAGGCCGACCACCAGCTGGCCCAGCTCAAGGGAGGTAAGGCACCCGCTGGAAAAGGGGAAAAAATGGCAGACAGCCTTGCTTGGCAACCCCCGTGAAATGGTCGATCGACCCCAAATGGGGTCACGACCAATAGGTTGAGAACCGCTGGTCTACAGTATCTATCAAGATTAATCTCAAAATGCAGATTTTATAGCTGAAATATAGACACCTATCTTTCCTACTTCTACCCATCACTTACTTTTTGTTGTATCTTGCTTGTTGCTAGAATCCTGCATACTCTTTTGAGCCATTTTGGTTCAAAGCAAGTTATAGACTTGGTACTTTTTCCCCAAAAGCCCCTTGTTATTGTCTACCATGTTGCTTTTGTTCAATTTTCTAGAGAGAATGTATTGCAAAATCCCTTTCTGCTCTGCATTATATATATATATATATTTATTAATCTTCATCTATGGCAGCAGTAACATTTTTTTTTATAAAACTAAACAGTTAAACTCTTTTTCAGGCAACAAGAGACATAGGATGTGGACTGATGCATTATGAATGTATTCTGTGTCTGCCATAGGAAGAAGATCCAAATGTCAGGAAAAAAATCACTTGTTCAAATACAGTAATTTACCATTTAATATTATTATTTTATTTGGAATATTCATAGATAAGAATACTTATTTGCTAAGCACCTCAAAGGGAGAGAAAAATAAAACTTAAAACTTGAAGATAAACATCTTTTCCTGTGCCAAGTGACACCCCACCCCCTTCCTCTAGAATTGACTGAACTTAGCCCCAGAATGGAAAAAATGCTTAACCAAGCCATGCTAGTAAGAAAAACAATACTACCGAGAAGAGTTTATAAGCATCTAGCTATTGACTGTGACCCAGTCCATGCAGCCTACAAAACCTTCACTAAAACTAGCAGTAGCAGGCAGGGACATATTTAGTCAGTGCTATCTGAATGCAGCCCAACCCAAAGTTACTGATGGTACTATCTGGTTGCAACCCCAAGCATGTGCAACATGATTCAGTGAACCTACCAGTGACACATTAAGACTACTTTTTGCTACTCCATTAGGATCCACTCCTGTGAATGCAAAGGCCACAGGTTATCCAGCTGGTCCATTTTGACTTTGATGAACACCAACGGTATTAATGGTTCAGAGGTTTTGGTGCTGTGGATCTCAGGAAGGTTTGTCTTTAACAGTGTGTAAATCAACACCCACAAAGACGGTCCAAAACAAACAAATGTGCTGTGCACGTATATCAGAATTGCTTCTACTTCTACAGCCGATAGATAAGAGATAAAGAGGAGATCTCACTACAAGACATCACCCTGGCTTCATTTGTACACATAAACTTAATACTGCTGCTTCACACAACAGCTCGGGTTGCTTTTGCATCAGCTTTGAGTGCCTCCTGTCATCAGGATCAATGCATTTAGTTACCACTTCTTCGTGGCAATTTCAATTTATATATATAGAAAAAGAATGCTTGCCTCAAAATGTTGTTTATTCAACCCAGCTACCACAATGAGAGGCTCCCTCAATGGTTATCACTTCAGATTCCATTGAGGGTTTTTTTTTTTGTTTTTGTTTTAAAGGAGTTTCAACACATCATTATTTTGACAGCAAAGCAGGGA